TTATCGCGCAGTTGTTGATGGCTTACGCCATCTATTGAAATAAATATCGACTATTCGTTGATTTTGAATTACTCCAGAACTGGAAAAATTGAAAAATCATCGAACAGTTGATATTTACTCCGATAGATTGGCGCAAGCCATCAGCAACTTTCAGTTGCACGATAAGGAGAAGACCTTTTCTTAATTTATCCATCTTACTCTAGTACAATTTCAAATTTGTACTATTTTTTCACATTAATTAAAATTATTTGATATCAAATCCATGAGAGTTTATCAACTAATAATATCAAGATATATTCCTCAAATTTCCTTTCATTTCTTCTATTAATAAATAATATAAATTGTGTACACACACAATGTGAATAATTTAACCTGCATATGATATTGTATCAAAGGCTTGATCATGGTTTATGAATTTGTTCCTATCCCTGTGTTGCTACAGCCCATAATATACACTATCCCTGTGTTGCCCATAATACAATTCCTACCAGTATCCATAGTAATATCCCTATTACAACGCCATGTTCCTGGACTTGTAGCCTTGATCTTAGCACTGACGGATTAGTCTTTACATAGGGTCACATGGTTGCGGTACATCGTGTATGTTACATAGGTCTATTCTATAATTGACCTGATCATGTAACATATATTAAACTATTAAAAAGGTTTCCGGGGTTTCTTTTTATTTGATTAAAACCATCTCAAGCTTTCAGACATCTGTGTCCTCCTACAGGAAAACTTATACAATGTCAAATGCTTTATTTAATTCTCCTGACGAAGACAAAAGAATTTTGTTGTAACGTTGAGAAAATAAACCTTTAACTGGTCTTAATGTCTATTTTTTTTAAAGAAACTCTTATATATAGTATGAAAGAGAAACTCGTGCATTATCGTGCAAAGGAAAATTGATAAGGAGATACCTTTTTCATAATTTATGCCCCATATCCAAGTTCAATAACTTATTTGTACTATTTTTTCATATAATATATATATAAGTTCATTACATATCTTTGTATCTATACACAAGTACCTTAAATACCCTTTTTATAATAATGTTATTTAAAACTTGCATTATGCCTAAAAAAACGTATACAATGTATAAAACACCGTCTAATACAACAAAGTTTGGCATCAGGCGGTGTTTTATCCATTATATAAGTTCTCCTGTGGAAGGACAGAGATGGCTGAAAGCTTGAGATGGTTTTAAAATAAAAAGAAACTCATTTCTTGAAACCTTTTTTAATTGTTTAATTATTGTCCAGGAGATTTAAATCAATTGATGTGAAATTTATCTAATATATATGTGTATTGTGATGGGTAGTTTGCCGGGAGTTTACTGATCGGTAACAAAGAACACCCTTCCCGTCAAAACAGACGCGCTGTGATATCTTCTCTGCGGGTCGGATACATTTCCGTGGAGACTATCTAACTGTCGTGTACGGTACAAGTGACGACGTGAGCCATTGATAGAAACCAGTTTATTCCAAGTACTGGAACAGTCTATGTACAGGTGCCATGGGATTCCTGCAACATAGTCTCTCAGTTACATCCATATATGCAAAAATTATGTATATCATTATATATGTAAAAAATAGCACAAATGTGATATTGTACTGGGATAAAGTAGAACTGCTCTTCACTGAAGGTTAATAACGAGTTTACAAAGTGGGAAGAGGAGCTTCTTTTATTAGCATGCACACAAGCTTTCGGACATATCGTCCTTCATCAGGTAAGAGTAATAAACGCGCTGAGGATCCATATATACACAAAGCTGAAAAGAACATAACTGCAAAAGATAAAAGTATTTAAAGATAAAAATAAGAACCAAATATGCTAAAAAGATTATAGGGATTAAATGCTAATAAATCTGGACTAAGTACATATGCACTATGAATGGTGTTAATCAAGGGCAGGTAAATGCAACCTATGGCTATTCACATAACATATGGTATTGTTCTGGTATATCTATATGCCTGTTGATGCTGTTTGTTTTTATTGACACAAATGCCTCTAGTAAAAGTCTTTGGTACTTATTATTGATATTGTTGTATAGAATGGATGGCTTTGTTAGATTGAATGTATGACCGGTTTGCATAGAATGACTGTAAATAGGGGAATTTAGGTTTTTATTAGAGATGTTTCTGGAATGCTCAACCATTCTGATGGCGACGGATCTACCCGTCTCCCCGACATAAGTGGCATTGCATTGGTCGCAAGAGACGGAATAGACAGCACCACCAGAACGGAGAGAACTCGCATGAAGGGAAGATCTGGTAATGGGGTGTCGGATTAGTGTGGCGATGTTAGGTGGGTTCTGGAAGTATGTTGTAATGCCGTGTTGCCTTAAAAACCTGGCTATGGTGATGGACTGGGGGCAAAAAGGAAGGGAGCAAATATTTCTGTGTATAGCTGGAGCACTGTTGTGGTGAGGGTCATGCATGTGTTTAAGAATGAAGGGGGTCGGGTAGCCGTTATTCCAAATAGCCTCCCGTTATTCCAAACAATAGAAAAGGCTAAAATATTTTCATATTTATCCAAATCCGGCTACCCGACCCCCTTCATTCTTAAACACATGCATGACCCTCACCACAACAGTGCTCCAGCTATACACAGAAATATTTGCTCCCTTCCTTTTTGCCCCCAGTCCATCACCATAGCCAGGTTTTTAAGGCAACACGGCATTACAACATACTTCCAGAACCCACCTAACATCGCCACACTAATCCGACACCCCATTACCAGATCTTCCCTTCATGCGAGTTCTCTCCGTTCTGGTGGTGCTGTCTATTCCGTCTCTTGCGACCAATGCAATGCCACTTATGTCGGGGAGACGGGTAGATCCGTCGCCATCAGAATGGTTGAGCATTCCAGAAACATCTCTAATAAAAACCTAAATTCCCCTATTTACAGTCATTCTATGCAAACCGGTCATACATTCAATCTAACAAAGCCATCCATTCTATACAACAATATCAATAATAAGTACCAAAGACTTTTACTAGAGGCATTTGTGTCAATAAAAACAAACAGCATCAACAGGCATATAGATATACCAGAACAATACCATATGTTATGTGAATAGCCATAGGTTGCATTTACCTGCCCTTGATTAACACCATTCATAGTGCATATGTACTTAGTCCAGATTTATTAGCATTTAATCCCTATAATCTTTTTAGCATATTTGGTTCTTATTTTTATCTTTAAATACTTTTATCTTTTGCAGTTATGTTCTTTTCAGCTTTGTGTATATATGGATCCTCAGCGCGTTTATTACTCTTACCTGATGAAGGACGATATGTCCGAAAGCTTGTGTGCATGCTAATAAAAGAAGCTCCTCTTCCCACTTTGTAAACTCGTTATGTACTGGGATAAGGTACATACATTTAGAAAAAGGCATCTCCTTATCGTGCAACTGATTTTTTGGTCGTTGAGGTACAGCTTGCACCACGCTGATGAGGGCCAACAGCCCGAAACGCGTCCGTGATTAGCTTTTCTTGATTAATCAAGAATGGGTATTTGGCCAATTCTGGAATAATTAAAAATCAACGAGAATAGTTGATATTTATTCCGATAGATGGCGCAAGCCATCAGAAACTTTCAGTTGCACGATAAGGAGATGCCTTTTTCTAAAATCATTATATATATATATATTTCCCCCCCTCTCTATTTAACCCCATACATAAACTTATATGTGATCGATGTAACAAGTTATATATTTTCAATCTCTCTCCGACATCTTTAAGTTATATAGAATCGCCCTTCTCACTGGAATATTTTATTAATAAATTATACAATCTTGAAGAAGAAACAAAAGTTAACGGCGACGTGAATGCTGTAAATTCGGCAAGCTTTCGGACTTTGACGACAGGCAAATTTAAATGAAAGTTACCTGTCGAAGGACGTCAAAGTCTGAAAGCTTGCCGAATTTACAGCATTCACGTCGCCGTTAACTTTTGTTCCTTCTTCAAGATGATGTCAGGGGATTCCTTCTCTAGTGAATTTTACAATGATTGTAGAACGAAGGTTGACAACTATCCCGCAAATGTTTCTTTTAAACGAAAAATCGAAATTTATTTTAAGAAGAAATAACGATTATTTCTAACCTTAGGGATGAAGTATGAAAGGATGAATTGTGAAGAGTAATGATGAACGGAAAAATAAAAGTGTCCAGAGATGGGAATCGAACCCACAGTTTTCCGCTTACCGGGCAGATGCCATGTCCACTAGGCTACCCTGGATGTATTTTTCCGTTCGTAAATATTATATAAAGTATTTCATAATACAATATAATGCGGCTTATATGATTGTAGAACGAAGGTTGACAAGGTAGAAATAAGGTTAGAAATAATCGTCATTTCTCCTTAAAATAAATTTCTATTTTTCGTTTAAAAGAAACATTTGCGGTATTATTGTCAACCTTTGTTTTACAATCATATAAGCCGCATTATATTGTATCATAAATTATACAATAATAACAAAAACGTGCTAGAGAGGAGGGGTATAGTGTCGCAGCAGGCAAGGATACATTACTGGAAGAACCTTGCGTAGAGAGAATATGGTGTCAAGGGCTACTAACCAAAATTTATGATTTTCGAGCCCAAAAAGAACGCAGCAAGCAGACCAAAGGTAGTATATATATATATTTAGAATTAAACTACTTTATTACAATGTTCAGAGAGAGAGAAACATATTTTACTGACTTCCAGCCAACATCAAAGTTACAACAAGATTACAGCTATCAGTATTATAATTAAACATGACATCAGACTCGAGGCCTTCCCCGAGGGACGTCTAGACTATATCAAGGGCTACAAGCCGCCCTGAGTCCGGATAGATCTTTGGTTATAAAGGAGTCTTTGTCCCCAATATGTTCAATTGTCATGTTGAGGAATTCGCACAGAATGGTCTTGTTTTCTGGCGAGAGCTGCCTAAGGATTTGCTCCCTCTCAGGAAGAGAAAGAGTCTAGCCTGGCCAATCTCAGGTTGGCTTCCGTTATAGCCTACAGATCCGGTGTTCCCAGGTGGTCCCAAGTACTGACCGACATTGCCCAACTTCGGTGATCGGACGAGAACCGGTGTTTATGGTATGGCCGTAGGCCAAAGGACCTTGCGTAATGTCGGATTTAATATTTAAATGTCCCTAATAAAATTATATTTTTAAAATTGATTGAATTTGTGATTAAAATGTTAGTTTTCAAATGAAGCATCTGTATGTATTTAAACTAAATGTTAAATAAGCAAAATGAAGCAATTCTAACCCCGCCACAAGAACAAACGACTACTTTAACACCTATAACCTCCGAGGAAGGAAGGCGCACAGTGATTCAGGACCCATGTTGTCACCAAAATACGAAAATTGCCTAAAGAGACCACAATATTTCATCTCATCCAAAATAATATATTACAAATTAATGTTCAACAAGCAATTAAACACAAGCATAAGTTAGCCATCTTAAAGCAGCAAACAGCATTAATCTTCCCATTTTTACATATACTGACATAAACACCAAATCTGTCAATCCATCCCATAGCATCATATAGCGGCTACCTGACAAAATGGCCACATCCTGATCTCTACCTAACACATTTAGCCATGAATTCAGTAGAAAGATAATGCTAATATCACAATAAGTGACAATATAAGAATAGTTGCTCCATGAAAGGAGGGTGCCATTGCATAACATTGAAAGACGCTAATACAAATGCAAAATCAAAACTCATTACAAAAACCAAAATACTCCAGCCCATATTAAACCACAACATTCACTTAGAATTAACAACAGCAATTTCAAGAATCAGAACAGGACATTTCAAAGGAATGAAGATAAACCCAGACATGACTAAATCCTATAGGAACTGCAATACCTGTTAGAACATCCAACTCACTCCGGACCATATATACCCGACCATCCCTCTATATGGCAGACATAAATCCAGAAGATCCATACGGACAAGGCACCTCAGTTGGCTGGTTTTGTGATCAGGGTGCATGGACCGATCTGAGCTGCTCCATGGACAAGACACCACCACCTCAGTTGGCCGGTTTTGTGATCAGGGTGCATGGACCGATCTGAGCTGCTCCATGGACAAGACACCACCACCACCACCGTTGGCCCGTATTGTGATCAGGGTGCATGGACCGATCTGATCTGCTCCATGGATAAGACACCACCACCTCAGTTGGCCGGTATTGTGATCAGGGTGCATGGACCGATCTGATCTGCTCCATGGACAAGACACCACCACCACCACCGTTGGCCGGTATTGTGTTCAGGGTGCATGGACCTATTTGAGATGCTCCATGGACAAGACACCATAAGAATAGTAACAATTGACATAGAATATTATTTACTTCCAACACAAAGAATCACTATCATCCCATTTCAATTTTCCAGACGAACTTTGTCTTACCTCTGCCAACTGACACAACTGTTCGAATTGTATTCATCACACACATTATCTACAATAACATTTACTCCATGAAGATTCAAAGTCGCCACAGTGGGAAGTCCAATTTAACCCGTCTTGATTTATATTGTCGGCATAGATTCGTGTAAATTGTTTCACTTCAAAGTCATTCTAAAGAGGGTTATTATTATAGCAAAGCATTTCTAATCTTTTATTAACAGATTATAAATTTTGATATACTTAATATTTTTATACTCTGTGAACTTCCCTCTTTGTTTCTCTTGTATTTTTATAAATTTTAATAGCTGAGAAGCATTCCAACTACATCGATTCCAGACGGCTACACTTCATAGACTGTCCTCATTTAATGACACTGCCCTATTGAATCTACCCAGAAACGAACCAGCCACTTGGTGAACTGGTTCACTAAGGCTACCAAGACTGACTCCTAAACTGACAAGATAGCCCAGGTAGTTGGCGATCTATGGATATGCTCCAGGAGCCTGGGTTACCTATTTGTTAAATAAAGAATTTCAGTTTGTTCTTGACTTAAATAAATTGCTGTGTCATCCTGAAGTTTGTATTTATCAGTTTACTACGTGACAATATGATAACAATGTAAGACATCCATTGTTCCAATGGCTATAATCCTGACGTCTTGTCACTTTGTTAGTAAAGAGCTACTCCCTACAGGAGGGCTCTCATCTTGATGTGCGATCAAAGAGCGATAGACCTCTGCAATACTGTCAGCAAGTGGTCTGGGGGATTTGGAGCGGGTAGTTGAATTTTTACCTTGCTTATCAAATATTAAAATACAAGGTTGTCCCAAAATTTCGTAAACACTTGCAAACAATAGAAATGCCCATATTATTCACCGTTATGTATAATGTCTTTGTATTATATAAAGTAATTGTATTATGTATTATTATGTATTCGCCAAGTAATAAGAAAACAACGTTTTAAGGAAAACACGAACTTTTGGGAAAGCCTCATAATATAAAAAGTGTGTACATATTAAATCTTTAAATGAAATTATTTTACATAAACAGATAATAGTAGCCTAGTGGACATGGCATCTGCCCGGTAAGCGGAACACTGTGGGTTCGATTCCCATCCCTGGACACTTTATTTTTCTGTTTATCATTACTCTTCACAATTCATCTTTTCATACCTCATCCCTAAGGTTAGAAATAATCGTTATTTCTCCTTAAAATAAATTTTGATTTTTCGTTGAAAAGAAACTCATGCGGAATAATTTTAGAATGTCGTTTTACAATCACAAGCCGCATTATATTGTAAGATAATAGTACCTATATATAACACACATATATATCTGTGTGTATAAGGTAAAATACGGGAGGATGATATACATATAACAAAAAGAGCACACCGCCTTCATAAAAACTCAGGACTCATGATGATAAGTCCCACCAGCAGTTTTAACAGATTCGACAAACCAAGCTGTATACCGACGTCAGTACAGGGGCGGCGTTATGGAACTTACAAAATGGCCGATTGTGAGGCCGGAATCCAATGTATGAGGTTGGTATTCCTGTACCAAAAGTGGCACCTCCCCTAAAGAATGCAATAAAACAATGATTTTTTCTATCTTCTCTCCGCAAAGACTTTTACTGGACATTGTGTACTATGATAGGAAGATGTGACTTCTCTAAAGTTCTCATGTTGTAGAATAGGAATTTGAATTAAAAGAGAAGAATTGGCTATATAACAGGTGCTCGGTAATATACCTTCAGTCCAGGTGGTTGGCGGCCTTCTTGAGAGCGGCCAGCACCTCGGACTCGATCTCCCGGCGGCGCCGACGGCCCTGGCTGCCGACGATGGCCGAGACACTCGGCACGGTGGACTGGCCGGCCATGGCCCCCACCACCAGGGCGCCGAGCCCCGCACACACCAGCACGGGCAGCCAGGCCAGCGCGGTCAGGGGCCCGAACTCGATGGGGCTCATCGGGGGCACGAACCGCAGGTCCTCTTCCTCGTGGGGGTGGGGCCCGTGGCAGGACACCAGTCCGCAGGACGTCAAGGTCAACAGGAGGAGCAACATGGCTGGACAACACGTTCAGAGCATCTACATCGAGTGTCTAGGGGTTTGTCATATTGCTCGCATTCAAACATGCCTATCTTTGTCGTTTTCCTCTCCACTAGCACGGACGCGCTAGTTGGGACAGTCTCGCTGACTAAACTGGCTGGATAGGCGGATAACTAAGGACCGATACTTGTCTTTGGCCATCGCTGCAGTGAGAGTGTGCCGAGTGTAATATGATCTCTAGTAAAACAAATCTAAATAGTGCATACTTAAGATAAATTCTCAAAAAATCAGAAATACAGTTTTGAAATTACCACCTAAATGAAAGAATTCCCATCCGTGGCACAAAACAATCAGAATGCGTGTTACTTAGAGCTATCTGTGATATGGTTGGTGGCAATCCCAGATGGCAGGTGGAGAGAATAAGGAAATTAGAAAAAATCAATCTTATTTTTTACCGTAGAAATTTGATCGTTGGATGTTCAAAGATATTCGAGTACTTGTTGATGCCGTCAACAGAGGCCAATAATTTACAGCTGAGAACTATGGAACATATGGGATAAAACATATGAACATCAAACCATAGCATCCTCCTGTAAAGAAAGAATCGTATCCTGACAACGTGGAGTATATCCTCTGATTTAAAGCGACCTTGCTGATTCCTGAATATCTTCAGTTCGTAGTTCATATGACAATTCCCTTATATGGGCAGAAGAAATGTCGCGAATTCGCTTTCCCGAATATTTGTTATGTATCCACGTCACCTCAACTCCAGCTATACCTACAGCGGTGTCATGAGGCTGCCATGTAGCAGCACATTCAGCTTCAGAGAGAAGTACACTAAAGACGATATATAAACTATGAGTAACATCATTTGGCAACTAACACCTGTAAAACTGGCAATTTCCAGACATCCAGTGAAACAATGAAATAACGAAAGAGAGATGGCCCCCCACGACTTGAAGAAGAAAAAAAGAAACAATTTAAGCCCCGGAGGTCGCGGACACAAAGGTGTCGTGTGACAGACAGTCTTAGAGAATATCCATCACGATCTGGGTCAACTTCTTTATTTAGAAACTTGCTCGCGCTGCTTTTGTTTCATTCAGTGCCCTTGATGAACATTTTAATCAATTTTTTAAATCTGTTGTTTTATAAACTCCGAGGGAAGTCATTTATAATGAGTGTTGAGATGGAGTTTTGAGTTCAAAGAAATTTGGGTTCCTTATTATGATGATTTTAAAGTGGACTTTGAACTGGAAACTGACGTTAGATCGGTCCGATTTCAACAGGCAGATCCCAGAGGTGGGAGAGAATGAGCACCTGAGCTTTATATATATTATGTATGAAAATTGGAAACTATTATAGACGCGTATGATTCTTTTAAAAATTAAACAATTTCTACTGCCCTTACTGCAATGGAAAAATTGATGGGGTATGGTAGATTAAACTGGCGAAACCGCTGGGAAGGTTCACCACTGATGCAGTAAGGGCAGTAGAAATTGTTTAATTTTTAAAAGAACCATACACGTCTATAATAGTTTCGAATTTTCATAACAGATGGCGCGCTAATGCATGATAATATATATGTTTAGTATCCATTAAAAAAGAAAGAAGGATTGAATTAGATGTTTAGTATCGATAT